ACCAAGGATAGTTTGGCTAACAGAATGCTGCATCGATGCACAGAGAATATGTAGTCGAGATCAACACCTTGAAGGTAGATAAATGATTAAGTTGGAACTAAATATAAATTCAATGGGAGACTTGGGGTTAAAGAGCAGGTTAGTCTGAATAAGCTTTTTTGTTTATCCTCTTATCCCACAGCAGCCCTATCACAAATTCTCACTTTTCTGCATTCTACTCGTCAAAATATGTACCATTTGTGCAAAATATAATGCGGCCTCATCACACTTGCTATTCACCACGACCCCCTCTCTTTCTATCGGCTGATCCGACTCGGTCCTCCAATCCTGATGCCTTCATTGGCTCGTAGATCCGTTCCTTATCTTTCTGGTTGACCCATTTCACTCGGTTCCAGTCCCTGTGTACATTTCACTCCAGGCGCCATTTCTCAAGGCCTTAGAAGCACCTATTCTGCCGCTTCACTGACCAGAGTGCCTAAACTCTCATTCTCATGCTTGCGTATATCAGGCCTTCACTACACGGGTCATCTCCTTGATTAGACCCACGTTATCTGAGCAAACTGTGGACTCCCATCTCTGGTCGCATGCGGCATCTCGAGTGGATTTCTGGTAAATTTTGGCCATAACACCAAATTTCTGTGACGGTTTGCTTATCCGTCTGCCCAGCTCCCGGACATTACGCACTGACAACGTCTTCGCTGTATTGCCGAAAACCCCTGCCTCCCACTTTCTTCATCGTGATCCCTTTTTCTCCGGTTAGCGGAAGATCCTTGATCCAGGCGTCTCTTTTTTGCTCATCTTGCTCTATTCTTGTTACTCTCCAGTTCGCTTAGGCAGTTGGCAAAGTTATCGCTGATTCTATCTTCCTCCAATCTCCTGATCATTTGATTTTGCTCTCAAACCATGTCAATGGTCTCCCTAAGCTTCGGCTTCCTTGTGTTGTCACCGTATGGGGCTCTTCTTTCTGTTGCCTTGAAAATTAATCTCGTGTCCAGTCTGTGCGATGTGTTCCGCTAGTTCTGCTCTTTCGGTATACATTTTCCTGCAGAGCCTTTGATGTTCCTTGATTCGTGTGCTAATCTTTCTCCCTGTTTCGCCAATATATTTCCTTTCGCAGGCACCGCATCATAAACAGTCAACTCCTGAACAGTCCAATTTGTCTACCCCTTCATGTTGTGTTGGTAGACTTGTGAAAAGTGTAGATTTCTCCTTCCTGACCACCTGAATATTCCATTTACTCAATATTGGTCGTAATTTCTGAATTAGTTCGCAGGAAGGCAGGTAGAATATGTTCAATCCTCCGTCTTCTGTCCATTATCACTATAGCTCCTCCTTTGTCCGCCTAAAGGACTAACTGTTCATTTGTTTCCAGGGTTTTAAGTATCACTGCATATCGGTTTATGTGTGTAGGCTCCTGATGGGTCAAGATCTTTGATATTAGTTCCATCTCCATTTCCCGTTTTGTCTCCTCAGGGAACTTGTCGAAGATATTCATAACCCCCACCAGGATGTCTCCTAGAAGGCTCCTGTGGTGTTGAACTAAAAAATTGAGTCCTTTTTCCAGGGCCGCGGTTGTTTCGCGATTGAGAAGAATTTATGATGAGCTTAATACTTTCTTCCGATCTTCGTGCCGATCAGTAGGTGTTGTCACCTCGGAAGCCACTTAAACTGGGCGTACTGGCTTTAACTCAGGCTGTCTTCTAATCCCAAACTTACGCAACTTATCGTCATGCCGTTTTGTTATTAAGTCAAAAATCCTACGTGATTTCCTGTCGGTCGTGCTCTTGAGTTTTCGAAAATCTTCCAGAGACAGGATCCTGGCCAAATCATACAGAAGCTTTGACTTGACATCTATAAACTTAAACAACTTATAACGTTCAGTATCATAGACCTGACTTAGTTTCTGAATTGAGGCCTGGTTAAGATACTCATTAACCCTATCCGAATGGTAGGGTCTCTTAAGGTCGCAGACCTAAGGAGTGATATCATAATGTTTACAACAGTTTCAAAAAGTAAAATGGTAAGATCTAGAGTTAATTATAGCACCTTCATTACCAACAAATCGTCTGATCATCAACTAACTTAATAATGTCGTAGGAGTTATTTACTAACAACTTCTAAGTTTCAGAGATTTGCTTCAACTGAGTACATATAAATCGTGATGTTGTATGCATTACGCTACCTCTATTATTTACAATAATCCCAACACCACAACACCATTTTTATCCATTCTACCAATCAAGATGAATCCAGCAGCTTGTATATACAAAAAAGTGTGCCGTGGTCCCCTTTGACGATACAACACACAACCCACACAAGTGTTTCAGCTCCATAGAACAGTCTTTTGGCCCTGGCCAGATTATTTACTTTCTTATCCCACTTGCCGAGACCAGCCGGTTGAAGGCAATTCGTGCATCAGACCGGGTTGGCACGTCCGAGTTGTGGCAACAGTTTGTGCGCTTTCCAATGCCGAGTACGCCTTCGATGATAACAGGAATGTCCGATCTTTGATTTTCCATTCCAGCCCACAACGTGACGATAAATCAAGGATATTAAACAATGCCAACACAGGCTCCCTCGAGAGTAGAAATGCCAATAGCAGCGTCGGCCGGGACCTGGTGGAGGTTATGAATATCTCCGACAAGTTCCCTGAGAAGACAAAACGGGAAATGGAGATGGAACTAATTTCAAAGATCTTAACCCATCAGGAGCCTACACACAAGAACAGATATGCGGTGATACTCAAAACACTGGAAAAGAATGAACAATGAGTCCTTCAGGCGGACAAAGGAGGAGCTACAGTGATAATGGACAGAAGACGGAAGATGGAACACATTCTACGAGACAGGACCACATTTCGTCTGCTAAACAAGGATCCATCTATGAAGGATTTAGAATTCTGAGACGGGTAGCTGGACAATTGGACGGAGATATTTCTCGGCAATGGCTACCCAAACGAAGTGATACAAAGCAACATACGGGCCGTGAAAAGCCGATTGCAGAACGGGGACTATGAAAGAACAGTAAGGACGATGAAGGATTCACAAAAGTGGATATGCCTGCCTTCCTGCGAACTAATTCACAAACTACGTCCAATATTGAGTAAATGAAATATTCACATGACCATGAAAGAGAAATCAACTCTTTTTATAATTTTACCAACGCAACATGAAAGGGTGGACAAATTTGATTGTTCAGGAGCTTACTGTCCCTCCCTGAGAGTGGAGTAAGATACCAGTTCGAGTGGACCAAAAAGAGCGCCATTCGACTAGTACCACTTGAGGTGATATGCCTCGATGAGGCATGTAAATGGTCTGGCGCCGGCTCTCTCTTGGCCTAAAGCCTACCAATCATTTTCAGATATGTATCAGGGCCTACCACTAGCGCGTTGGTGTTTGGGGTACCAAAGGGACAGCCAGCCGACGAGGAAGTGAAGATGAAGTCGTTGAACTGTAAGCTGGACAACAGTGCAAAATGCGTTTACGCCAGGAAATATTCTATACGAAACCTTCCAGTATTGACTAACGGTTATGATGGGGGTGTAAAGAACGAAATTCAATCAATCAAGCACATGAGAAAATAGAAAAATCAAAAATCAATAGGTACCTTAACTCGTGATTGGTTAGATACATCTAGTCGTAGAGATTATGTAAGGCAGAATAAGAGTGAGTGAAGAGTAGAATGGAAGAGCATAATTTGGCAAATTACTCGAGGGGAGGTTATCAAAGTTTTATTTTTTATTTTATTTTAATAGGCCTTATTATTGAAAAAAGCAATACAAATAAAGCAATGGGCAGAGGGGAAAAAAGCCTGGAGATATGTGTTTAGGTGTGAACTTAATTCCGTAAAATAGAAACAAGTCGAAATCCTTATTATGCTAAGATTTACAAAAGATTGGGAGGAAAAATGCTGTCCTGACAAGTTGCTCGCATTTCTGATCAGTTAGGACGAAAAATTCAACTTCGAATTAGATGAAGGAATAAGTGAGAATCACCCTCAGTGTTAAAAGGAATCATGCAGACAGTCTAGAATCGAATAGCTAAAGCGATTTTTAATGATGGGGCAAGCCAAGCTTTAACTGAAAGACTTGTACAATTCCTCTGGGCATCAATTCTCTGTCAAGAGTCCACCTGAAGCCAATACTTGCTGTACTCACGACAAATTTGACAGGTAATAGGAAGCTTTATGCTACATGATCTCTCGACTCATTCGCGAATCCAATTGAAGAGAAGCATAAACGCCTTAACCAGGGCTGTCTGTCACCAAATACCTCTCCAAAAGGCCGGAAATGAACACAACTATTTCACCACACCTTGGCAATAACAGAAAAAGTTGAAGCAAGCTCATGAAGGAAGCCTCATAGCAATAAAGCTAGAATAGACAAGAGATCAAAGCCCAAGTGTAATGTCAAGTTATGAATGTCAAAAAGGACAGAAACCACAGTTACATTGTATGTCGACCTGGATGCATGCGAGCAATGCTAATATGCAAGATACGGACAGACAGACGGTTGCAAATTTGCCGTCTTGCTTAAAGAACAGAAATAGACAAACACGAGATTCATCAAAGTGCGCCAATTCGGTCAAGATAAATCCACAACTTCATCACACAACCCATATAGCCCAACAAAAGAATAAAAAAATGTATCTGTTCTGGGCCTTGTTCGTACTGAGGGAAGCTAGATGGGTGGTGGAACCAATATGAACGCACCGAACAGCCAGAAGAACCGTGGGTGGAAATAACGCTTTGGAGACTAGAAGGCTGGGTCTGAGGAGAGGTGCCGGAGGAGAGGCATGACTGGGGCCCCTGGCTGGAGGAGCGGTAGACGCGGCCCGGCTGGAGAAAGGTGCCGGATGAATAAATCACCTGCTGTTGCTGATTTGCTCGTTTGAGGTAATTTTTTACTTCATTACGATCGCCTTTAAACTGTAACGGGTTTTGTGCATGAATAGTGTGAAATAGAAAGCAAAATCATAGATAAAAAATCCAGACTTTAATCAACATGTCTTGAGCCGCAAAATAATTTCATTGACTCGCATTTGTCTATATTAATGTCAATGTAGTCAATAAGATTGACTGAAAAATCCAGGTTTAGATAATGTCAAATTAAAGGGCAGGAAGGAATACAATAATCCATCTATACATTCACCATCAAAACATACGCCCTAAAAATAATGCATTAAGGAAAAATATATAAGTCGAAGGATTGTTTAATATTCCAGGGCCGTTTCTTTCCCTAACTTTTTCGCGGCATGATTTAAAGCACACGAGAAAATTATACACTCTTGATCAATTGTCTTTAGAATGTGTGAAGAAGGATTAGAAGAGGGGTAATTAAATACGCAGTCTGACCTCGTTATTGCAACTTGGTCGTATTGGGCCCAACTTGTCCTAAGTTCTTTTCTATCGTAGTTATCATATTTCCCAGCGTGGGAACATGGATTTGGTACACTTTCCGACGCTTCGCCAGCATCGTAGTCGACAGTGTCAGTGAGTCTTGCTAGTCTCAGCAACAAGCTAAAACGCGTCAGAGAAAAGTCAAGTCAATCTCTTGAGCATCTTTCTGCCGAAACGGTTTTCCTATAACTCCTCGTCATGTCCTGGCCCATCTATCTACCCTCTCCCCTCTTGTCTCACTCCCGTCCTAGCATAACTTCTGACTTTTTTATATTCCACTCATTTCCGTTTTGGCGAATTTAGTGTCGTGTCATCACAACTGCTGTTACCATGCTCTATTCTCCTCTCCCTCTCAAATTACTTACCCGACTTTGGCCTCCGATCCGGAACAGCCTCACTGGCCTGTAGATCTGTTTCTTATCTTTCTGGTTGGAATTATCGGGTGTACTTTTTGCCCTATACCCTATTTCTGAAGCCTCTAGCAGGACGAATAATATTGCCTCACCTTAACAGTACCTAGGTTCTGATTTCCATGCTTGCGGATATTAGGCCCGAGGTGGATCCGGATGAGGCCCGAGTCAGATTAGACACTCGAAAGGAAGAGTGGAAAGAAAAACATTATGACGCCACAGTTAACTCGCTAAAATAGCACATCTCTTGAGGAGTGGAATAAAAACAAGTCAGAAGTTGTGATAGGGCGGGAGTATGATAAGAGGGTAGGTAGATGGATGGACCAGGACAGAAAGAGGAGTGACAGCACAACCGTTTCGGCAGAAGGTTGGTCAAGTGATTGATTTCACTTAACTTTTTGATGAGTTGTAGCTTTGTACTGAGAATGGTAAGATTCACTGACGATGCCGGCGAAATGTCTTGGGATGTATCAAGTCAAAGGTCTGATGCAGGGAATTATGATAACTATTATGGCAAGGGACTTCGGGCAAGGTGCATCCAACTAAGTTGCCTTGATAACACAACCAAGTTGCGTAAAAGAGATCAGACAACATATATAGATCGAAAGGAGACTGCGACCAAATAGAGGCTACATCTTGACCTTTTTATAATCAAATATGGCTGCCAAAAGTAAAAAAAAGAAACATTTTAAAGTAAGTTAGCTTGGGCAAGCCGTAAACACACAAACATAAACATAAGTACAAACATATATGGATATATAATATGCGCCAATAAAATGCTGCGCAAGAAGAATTTCATAATAGAGAAGGAATTATTTGCCTCAAAGAGGTTATGAAAAATGGTAAATAAGTCATTGGAGTGCCAATTTGATGAACAAATAAAATCCACTATTTTGACTATAACAGATTTTTGTGACCACAAAAGATATTGGCAAAGGCGGACTGATATGACAAGATGCCAGACGACTGTGAGTCTCATGGTGGCGTCTAGATGGCTTAGCTAGTATAGATTGTAAAGAATCAATTAGATGTACAAAGTATGCACAAGAACTAGTATACAATACGTGGATTGGGTAAAAAAACATTAATGAGGTATTGCCTATCTATCACCCTAACTAGCGATTTCCTGAAAGAATTAGGGGCAAGATTGTCATAGCCGATCTTTCGAGGCAGAACTGTAATGAAATGTCATTTAGAGTGCCTTAAGAGGGAAAATGAGAAGGGACTATAAAATATTAAATTTGTGTATTAAGTGGAAAAAATGAAGAAACTTCTAAAACCTCTTGCCATTTAGGAGAGTTATTAACTCCAGATGGCTCTTAACTCGAAGTCCCAGTATATAAAACCTCCAAATTTCGTCAAGAAAACTTATGAAGAGAGATGTATTGGAAAGATTACAAAAAACTGGGCATTCCGGAAGCAATAAATCCAGACTTAAGTAAACTTCCTACTCATAGTCAATTTCATTTATTTATAAAGTGTTAGAGGGCCGAGTAAAGAAGAAACAAGTCGTAATTGATGAAAGAGCTTCGGCATTCTGCATGTCCCCTGATTAACGACTTCTGAATTCGAGTTTTGGTGGAAAACTAATAATATCTAGATGAGGTCAAATTGTAGTCCACTCAGGATGCAAATAAAATCCCCGAATAAATGGCACAGTCTGTTTCGCGTTGTTAGG